GATATAAATTTTATTAATCTTCTATTAATTTTAATGAAATAAATATATTACATAATATAAAAATAAAAATAATATGATATGTATAATATTGTGTGTGTGTGTGTGTGTGTGTATACATATATATATATATATATTTTTTTTCAAAGTACTGACCTGAAGGAAAGGATCACTGACACCACAAACATCATGTTCAGGAGAATAACCCGCCATAATTAGATTTTTTAAGATACGCACTAAATTTGGAACAAGCTATAAATAAGAAAAATAAATCATCAATTTAAATATATAACACATTCCTAAATGATAAAAAAAGAAAAAAAAATTAAAAGTGCTTGTTAATATAATAGAGTAAACATTACTCAAATATAGTGAAAATTTTAAAATAAAATGACTATAAATGATGGTGTCAAGTTAAATATAAAATTCTATATCTATGTGCAAAGATAAATATTAATTTCTAAAATTTGATTATTTTATTAATCAATTATAGTTATTAGCTTCATAAATGCAAAAAATTTTATTAATATTCAACTAAGTGCAGGAAAATTTGTGTCAAACTGTAAGAATTAAAATGTATAATTGATTAAAAATCTGCATGCTATAATCATTCTCCATGCTTCTGAGAATTAAAAATGCAAATCAAACATAACAACAATTAAAAAATAAATGCTTTCCAACTTACATACAATAATTTTTGAATTATTATCATGGCAATAACAATAAATAAATACAAACATTTTACTAATAAATACTAGCTTAATTAAAGTATAATGTAATTTTGTTTTGTAGATAAATACCTATAAAGCAAAATAAGCTTTTAATAGGCAAAATAAAAATAAATAATTTAAATTTGATATTTCTTACAAATTTCAGATTATTTCCTTTCTATCTGAAAAATCTTATTCAGAATCCACAATTATATTTCAGGCACATCAAAAAGAATTCTTATTATATTCTTTATAATTATTAATATCTGCTTATTAAACTGTTAATTATTAAATTTGTTATAATTTTTATTTTATTAACTTTATAAAACAAGTTAATACATTATTTAATTTTATTTCTAGTGAATTAAATTAGTACTTGAATTTTTTTTATATTATTTTATTAGTTGAGACTTCAAATTCCATTAATGAAACTATTTCCTACCATGAGCATCGATTTATAAGGAACAGAGGAAACATATCCTCCATTATTTTTGTACTGGTAAATTTTTCCTCCTCTCAATGTATTTTTCTTTTATACCATATTACGAAAATTAGGAGTAGAATTAAGAACTAAACACAACAGGTACATCTTATTTTTATATCCATTCAAAAACCAACAAGAAATTTCTCTTACTCACCCTAACACCTCTCCTATTGGTCCAATTCCCTTGTACATATATAGGTATCCCTAGTATAACACAATAGTTGTGTTCTGAAAAAGTGCCATGTTATGTGAGTCTGCACTATATGAAGCAAAGGACTAATACAAAACATGGGGTTATGTTCCAGAAGTTAGCAGAAGTATACTGTTCTTTTTTGTTACTAAGCATGTTTATAAAAGCAATTGATAATTTATTACCAATCAATAATTAACTAACAATCACAATTAAAAGTATGTATTACACATTAATATTAATTTTAGTTAAACGAGGGTGTTTTCTTTTTACAAAGTATCATTGTCATCTCAGCTTTTTTGTTGATCTCAATCAGAAGTATCGGCAACATTTTCATATTTTTTTATTTTTATCATAAAAAATTTTTATGGATGATGAAATAAAAATATGTTATTAATTGAAAATTTGTTCTAGCAGGTTGAGTTTGTTCGGTTGAGTATCAAGTGACTTTTTTCCAAAATTTGTGTTCAAATACCAAATTGTTCCAGTACTGAGATACTGCTGTATTTCGTTCATCATTTTTATGAATGACGTAATCATTCATAGGTAATTAATATCTACAGTTAAAAAAGTTTAACAACATTTACCTAAAAATGTTTAAATAAACTTTACTAAATACAAAGATTAATCAGACTATAAAAAGAAAACACAGTGACAATCTTAATGGCTAGCTGAAAGCGATAACAACGACATCTGATTGATATGAAAGTTAGTACAATTTTTTTCTTCCTTGTTCTATCAGTTTTCATTAAAGTAAACCTGACAAAAAGCATAAAATAATTTTAAATTTCAATATTCTAAAATCCATGAGCAAATTTAAGATGGCAAAAGTGCTTACTTGAATAAAAAACATATTGAATAAGAAAGTTTACACTTAAAAAATGTGAAATTTTGTATGGAGGATTTCCAAAACTGTGTTAGAGCAAAATCAAAAGTCATGTTGTATGAGAAATATCCCCAATTTTCAAACTGTGTTAGAGAGAAACAGTGTTGTACAAGGGATACCTTTATATATAGATTGCTACTATTGTTTCCTAAATACATAATAGAAAACATATATTGAAACTTTTATATTTATTTTTTTGTTTGTAAATAAAGACACAGTCGTTCCAAAAATTATTTTAAAAACCACCATTTTATTACACATTATAGAATAAAACTTTAGACAACCAGACTTTCCTTTATAGTATACTTGGCCGTCCAGTTCAAAACATTCCTTAAAACACCAAAAAATGTATCCAATTAAAAATATAAATTTAAAAAATTGGAACCGGTGGATAGCCGAGTAGCCTATAAAGGAGGGTTTGGTTGTCTAAAGTTTTATTCTATAACACATAATAAAATGGTGGGTTTCAAAATAATTTTTGGAACGACTGTGTCTTTATTTACAAAGAAAATTTTGCTATCCGACGGAAACTTTAACAAAAATCTTTTATATTTATTATCAAAATTTTGAGTGAAATTTAATGAGAAAGTTTCAAATCTCAACAAAATTTCTTTTATTCAGAGAAGAAAGTATTCCACAGTATTACTGAACTGACAGTCTATATTTGGTTGTTCAACATCAATAAAAAATAACCAAATACAGAGTATACTGAGCTGATTCAAAGAAGATTAACAGTTACTTTTCCCAACTTTTAATTTTAACAAAATTATTTTAAACTGAATCAGCTAAACTATTTTAAGCAATCAACCTTATACTAATTATTTTTTGTTAAACAAATCAGCAATTATCTAGAAAAGTAATGATAATATTTAAGTTTATATTGATCGAAAGTTATTAATAAAGCAGCTTTCTTTTAGAATTAGTTATTTCCTTAAAATAATATAAAATTCATTTAATTATTGATAACTATTTGAACAGATGTTAACAGAAAGATTTAAATAAAGTTTCATTACTTTTGTATTAAACTAATTTCATGAAAATATTGAAAACAATCAGAAAATTTATTGATTATTATATATTTTCTCAAGCATTTATATGAAAATCAAAAACCATGCTTTCAATACTCCTATTTGAACATAAGAGAAGATAAACAAAAAGAATCTAATGATAATATAACAAATACTCTATTTCATAGTTGGAAAACATTATTAATCTGTTAAAAATGCTATAATTGATAGCGAAAAATACTTTTCTGTAAAATTCAATCATTATTCATAATAATTAAATAACCAATAACCACATAATTTTATTATATTAAATCACAAACTACTCTATCATGCACTATTGATCAAGAACAGAAATATGTTTTTCAATTTCTACTATATATTCATCAAAGCAAGCAATGTGCAGGAATTATTTAGAGTTCAGGTAAGAGTTTCTTTGATAAATTTCCATGCTTGTTAACAAAGCATGAAAATATAAGCAAATCCATATGTGCCATTATCAAGCGTATGATTTTATTAAAATCATTTCCAAAATTTCTGTTAATATTAAAACATATTCAAAGAAAAGTATACCTCATTGTACTGTTTCCATCAGGATTGCAGAATAACATAGTATAACAGAGAAAAAAGAAAATATGAATTTTTATATATTTTAATTTTTTTCGATTTAAATTAACCGGTTAAATATAATTTTAATCCAAGGGCTTACAATTGTCAATTTTATTAAATTTAATGTTTATTAAGAAGATGTAATTATCATTATTATTAAAGAAATCTTTAATGCAATGCAAGAATTTCAAATGTTTAAAAACAATAGCTCCAAAAAGCAAATATATTTTAATTTGACAATTTATTATTTGAAATTATTAATTAATATTTTGAGATATAATTACTGTTAATCTTAGTCATAATCAAAGACTCAAAATAATTTCTATATAAGATACTACTTAAAAAAAGTCAAACTTCATAAATATGTTAAGCATTTTGATATACATAAAATCAGAAATAAAAATCTAAATAAGCAATTTATTGTAAATTTATGCATTTAAATTTTAATTACAATTACATTTGTTGTTCAATATACTATTTAAATTTTCATTTTTTCTTTTTTATAATTTTATCTTAAAATATTTATTGAAACACTATGATTATGTGAATTTTCTATGCAATTTAAATTATTCAATCTAAATTTTAAAACATTCAATTAGTTTTATTTATTTATGTGGAATTACAGTGGAACCTTGCTTAACAAGCACCTCATATAATAAGCAAAACAAATTGTAAAATAATGACTTGCTTAATGAGCAATGTTTCGCATAATGAGTGATGCGGAGAAGAAAAGTTAGGATTGTGCGCATGCTCCATCAGTCTGTGTTTAGCACTTGTTCCGCTAGCATCTTACTGTCGCTTGTGATTACATATAAACATCAACAACTATACTCCGTTATATAATAAATACGTCAAACGATATGCCAAATTCTTGGGCTATGTAAAGTTTATAATTAAATAGTAGAAATTAAATAATTTGACTAGAGGTAGGCAGTTATGCTGCCATTTCGTAATAAATTTAATGACCAATTCCAAATTAAATTTTAGAAATGTCTAAATTAAAAATTATTTATTTATAATTATTAAATTTAATATGAGGTGGAAGCATAACTGCCTACCTCTAGTCAAATTAATTAATTTCTAATATTTAATTATAGCCTTAACATAGCCCAGGAATTTGAAATATCGTTTGGTGTATTTATCAGATATATCGTATTTACTTGCATATAAGACAACCTCGCATATAGGACAAGATGTGACTTTAAAGATCAAAATAAAGAAAATTAGATTTATTATTACAATTCTAATTTTGTATAATCACAAGTAAAATATCAAATGAACGTAAATGCACATTGTCCTGCAAAAATTACTGGCATTTCAAACTTCAAGGAAAAATCTTGTAAAATTCACAACATAATTTGTTCATGTAAAATGGACAATAGGAAACCTTTTTCTGCCAATTTGCAACAGTCGAATCCACTCTCCGTCATGTACACTTATGAGTTTCTCCGAATTCTGATTTCCGAATAATCATCTGTTTTCACATGGGAATGGATTAAAACTTATATCATGCTCCCATGTGATTTTGGAATTTCAATCTGGAATTCAATTTAAAAGCTTTGCTTTTCCTATTGCTATTCATCTTTACTCCTAACAATATACAAGAATGATTTAAACGACCAGATAATATACTTTTGTTTTAAATACAAGAGGGTAAGCATCTGATAAAAAATGCAAACATGTGGTTCACAAAAATTATTTGCAAAAACACAAAGAATCTTTCGCTTGCACATATAAGACAACTTAGAAATTTGAAGCAGTGAAAAATGAATAAAAACTTTGTCTTATATGCGAGTAAATACGATATTATCTGTAATTTTTTTTTTGTTTTCTGCAAATCAAATTTGCATTTCAGGTTGGTTCATTCCATGCTAGAAGAAAAGATGATGATGATTCATGCTCCTTAACAATGTACTGTACATTGTATAATATTCTTTGAATAAATGTTATACATAAAATATTTGAGTATTTTTCTCAGCATGAAACGCATTATCATATTTTACATTAATTTATATGGGAAAAATTGTTTCACTTAATGACTGTTTTGCATTATGAGTAAGATTTTCAAATGAATTATGCTCATTAAGCGCGGTTCCACTGTATACTATTTTAATAATGTAAGCTATAAAAATTTAAAATTCCTCTTTAAAATTCTTTTTTTTTTTAAATGATTTTTATCAATAAAAAAATTTTTATAAATTGTAAATAATATAAAAATTTTTCTACCCACTTTCTGAAACTCAAAATTAATACAAAATTCAAACAATTTCTTGTATGTCAAGCATTAATTTCTATACAATAAGTAAACATGCTGCAGTAGTTATTTCTTCAAACTAAACTTGTTTTTATTCTATATATAAAATATAACGCACTTGGTATATTATTATATTATTTAAAAAATATTAATATGTATTTAATGTTAACTAACAATTTTCTGCAGCAAAAATTTTGCTAAATTTAAGATTTTTAATAATAAATATACAAAAGTTTTATAAAATTAATGAAAGTTTATCATCTTAAAAATGAAATCCTCATGTTTTAAATATTTAAAATAATTATGAATGCATATAAATATTTAAAAAAGATCTTTAAGCAAATTAGTAATTAAATAATTTAGATTAGTAATCTAATCAAAATATAAATACCTGTTTTATGTAACTGTAATGAAATGACAATATTAATTTCTATATTAAATTTTAAGTTTCAAATTGTACGACATTATTTTTTACATATAATTATATTCTTCAACATGCTATATAGAAAACACATGCACTTTAACACTTTCTGAAAAGTTAAGTTATGTAATAGTAACAAGCATAGTGACTTAAACTATTTTTTAATTTTCCTAGAATAAAAATGGGATGGAAACAAAGAAATCCTAGTTCATAACTCATTTTTATGCAGTAATAATGAATATTATGATTTCTTTAAATTAATACTCTTTGTGATATAATTTCTTTTATCATCATACATAAATAATAATACAGATAAAAGAGCTAAAACAAAAATCAAGCAAATTTAATAAATCAAATTTGTGTGTAAACCCAAAAACAGAAAATAAAATAATCCTTTAGAGCTAATTTTTATTCTTCAAATTTTCATTTTTTGAATGTTTTATAGGTTATGTACAGATGTTGCAGGAAAATTTAATCAGATAATTTTTAGCATATATTCAGACTTAAATCTTTTTGTAAATTATTATTAGTTGAAAATTGCAGATTTAGAATACAATAATAAAAATAAACTAAACATAATGATAACATTTTCTAATATGTAAATTAATTCAAAACTTTTTTCCATTAGAAAGATACTTTTCATTATCCATTAAGTTAAAAAATGAAAAATATTTCATAACAGTTACTTAATAATGGAATTATATATCAAAGATTATTAATTTAATTGCCTTTATGTTTTGTTGTATACTATTTTTGTTATATTATTATTCTACTTAGGACTAACAAGGAGAGCCTACGGCTTTGGGGTAACGGATTTTGATGATCTTTGGTGTAGAGGTAGTACACGATGTGAGTGTACTACCTGTAAAATACTAAAGTGCAATACTCAAATATAATCGAGAAAATCGAACTTAAAGTTTTGTTAGCACTTTATATATAAATTATACGTATTTCTATTCGAGCGTCCTGTGGCAGAGTGGTAACGAGTCTGATTCGTAAGCTTGAGTTCTCGGGTTCGATTCTCGCGTAAAATTTTTTTTTAATTCATAAATACTTATAATGTATTTATTTATTTACTCATTCATTTATTTCTTATTATTTATTTATTTTAATTTAATTTCTACTATTCCAAGTCTAATATTTTTATACTTTTGTTGACAATAACGGCGCATTCTTGACACCTATGTGTCAACTTTCCCATCTAATTGTTATCACTAACGGTGACCGATCTAATTCTCACTAGGAGCGTTTTTTCTATCGGAGTTCTTTTTCACTCACTCTTTAACAGTTCGTTTCTAAATTTCGACACGAATAGACGTATTTGTGTAGTAAAACTTATTTTGAAAAATTATTTTATAATCGAAAAATGTCGTCAAGAGAAGCAAGTTCTTCACGTTGTGACGAAAAAACTGTTGATGATACCTTTTAAAAAAGCAGCATTTATTTGTTGTTCTTGGTGTAGACAGAATTTTTGTTTTGAATGTTTTTATCATAAGTATCATTCACGATCATGTACATCTGACAATGATATGTAATTATATAATATTGCTTCAATAAATTATATTCGTTTTTCTTGGTTATATTTGAGTTTTGCACTTTACAAGTTAGTATTTTACATCACTGTATAAAGAGTTATCATCAACAGTTTTTTCGTCACAACGTGAAGAACTTGCTTCTCTTGACGACATTTTTTGATTATAAAATAATTTTTCAAAATAAGTTTTACTACACAAATACGTCTATTCGTGTCGAAATTTAGAAACGAACTGTTAAAGAGTGAGTGAAAAAGAACTCCGATAGAAAAAACGCTCCTAGTGAGAATTAGATCGGTCACCGTTAGTGATAACAATTAGATGGGAAAGTTGACACATAGGTGTCAAGAATGCGCCGTTATTGTCAACAAAAGTATAAAAATATTAGACTTGGAATAGTAGAAATTAAATTAAAATAAATAAATAATAAGAAATAAATGAATGAGTAAATAAATAAATACATTATAAGTATTTATGAATTAAAAAAAAAATTATATGCGAGAATCGAACCAGAGAACTCAAGCTTAGGAGTCAGACTCGTTACCACTCTGCCACAAGACGCTCGAATAGAAGTACGTATAATTTATATATAAAGTGCTAACAAAACTTTAAGTTCAATTTTCTCGATTATATTTGAGTATTACACTTTAGTATTTTACAGGTAGTACACTCACATCGTGTACTACCTCTACACCAAAGATCATCAAAATCCGTTACCCCAAAGCCGTAGGCTCTCCTTGTAAGCATATTATTAGGACTTATTTATTATACTGGTGTTTTTGTTTCTGCAAAAAGAGAAAGTCTTATTCAGAAAAACAATCTTTATAATCACCTGGTTTTTCACCTAAAAAACCAAGTGAAAATAAAGATTGTTGTTTTCTGAATAAGACTTCCTCTTTTTGCAGAAACAAAAACACCAGTATAATAAGTCCTAAGTAGACAATAATATAACAAAAATAATATAAATCAAAGATTCCAACACATCATTCTTGCTCAGTACTTACATGCAGATAATTAAATGTCAGCATATGAATTTGTCTCAAATTACAATGCCCTTTCATTTTCTCATCAATTACTTTTTCTTTCGTGCTAATTATGTTATATTACTCTGCTTCCTTATGATGCATCTTTTTTTTATGATGCTGAACTATGACAAGCTTCTTGAAACTGTAGTGCACAAATAATAGCTAATTGAAAACAAAAATTGTCATTAACTAATAAAACAATTTATTAAACAGACTGCACATTCTACATCAGAACTATCATGTTATAGTACTGCATTAAGGTTTCGAGTTTGTAGCTCTTAAAATGCAGTTTCTAATGCAACTCCTTGTATTCTTGCATTAAATAGATAACAGAAAGTATTTTTCTAATTAAACAAAATAATTTAATTAGGCAGCTTTATAGTTATAAACCAGATTATAATAATCAATCATTCTATATCTTAAAATGACAATAAGATACAAATAAAAGTAGTTTGTGAAATTTATTGAGAAAATATTGTTTTAAATAGTCTTGCAACATCTTATATATAATTATAAATTATTTCATTTCATAATAATGTATGTAGAATAATTTTTTTCATATCTCAAATTATTAACTATAATTTCAAGTTATAATATTTTTTAAAATGTTGAAGTATTATAAAACAATATACATATTTGTATATATAGTCATGCTACAAATTTTCATGCAATTCACATGAAAAATAAGATTATAATACAAGCACAATTTATAAAAATTATTATTTTATCATAAAGAAAAATATATTTTCATACTCACAATATATTAATAATAATTATTAATATAAGTTATTGGCATTTAACTTTTATATTACTAAGTGGAAAAATATTATAACAAATAATGTATGGTACAGTACCATAGTTTGAATTGTTAGCAATATTTTGTATGATCATAAGAAACATTAGAAAATTGCATGTAAAAACAAGAAAAGGAAGATGTTAACCTAATTCAAAAATGTATTCTACATCATTTATTTAGGAACAGTGAATTACAGTATTTTTGATTAACTGATAAATTAAAGAATAATGACAAGGATTAAAATTTATTATAATAAATGGAAAAATATTCAACTATACAGAAAAAATATAAATTCTTTACATATAATAAATGGGAAACAATTTATCATAAGAATGAAATTCAAATTTCAAAAACATTTTAATAAATAACTACAAAAATAATTAAGATAACAAAATAATTCTTATATTTGTTAAAAATATTACCACTTAGATATGAATATTGAATGAAGAAATATTAAAATCCAAGTAATCAAGCATAACAATTTTTTAAAGTGTATATATACTGTAGAGCGTTGTTTATCTGAAAGCCGGTCAATCGAAATGTCGGTTAACTGAAAGCGTTCCAGTCAGCAAATTTAAATTTCTGCTAGTGTTGTGGCTCTGCAACCTTTAGCTATGTCTTGGGCTACTCCAATATTTTTTTTTTTGTTGGTGTGTGTGTGTGTGTTTTAGCTGGAAGCACTGGCACTTTTGTGTAGTGTTTTTCTGAGGACTGTGTGTCGTGCTGAATCGAACATTTTTGATACTAGATTAACTTCTAAAGTATTTTTTTTTTGTTTTTATATTTTTCAATAAATTTATTTTGTTTGTACAAAATAAAGAAATAATTTTTAATGATACAATACCATGATTATTATTATAAAAATTTTTTATTAGGTTTAACATTGACAAAAATTCAACGTGAAACGACATGCAGCGGAAAAAAATTTCAACATGGGATAGGTTAATATATTTTTTCGTATGTAATCGGTTATCTGAAAAATAAGTTATCCGAATGACCCGAGTCCCCAATTGATTCGGATAAATGACGCTCTACTGTATATACACTGTTTATATACAGGGTGCATAGGTATGCAAGTGAGGTAATAGTAAAGTGACTATGCCCGACCTAATGCAAATGACAGCAGGCAACTAGTGGCGAAATTTGGAAGATAGGCAGTGCAAATTGAAAATGAAAACAGATAGAGCAAACTTTCCAATTAGAAAGTTTTAGAGCATTAATTAATTAGTACAAAATGACATGTGGTCATAACATCACACAAAAAACAACGGAAACGCAAACTGTCACACAGTGATAAGAAGTTAATGTTGAGTATGTTCAAAAAGTTTTCCATTTGCTCACAATACACGCCATTGTTATCAAACTGTATTGACGTAAGTACGTATTTTATGCATTAAATTGTGCGTATTTCTTCATACCTATGGCTATTCCTTTCAAATGTTTACACAAAATGGCGTGCATCGCTTTTGGACATTTTTGGGTAAACAGGCAACAATTTATCCGTGTGAACGACATGTCATTTTGTACTAATTAATTGATGCTCTAAAACTTTCTAATTAGAAAGTTTGCTTTATCTGTTTTCATTTTTGATTTGCACTGCCTATCTTCCAAATTTTGCCACTAGGGGAGCTGCTGTCGGGCATAGTCACTTTACTATACCATTACCTCACTTGCATAGCTGTAGCTCTCTGTTTGCAAGAATTTTCTGGTTAAAGGGACTTTCCTATGCACCCTATATATATATATATATATACACTCACACATACTTAAACAAATGAAAATTTTATCCCTTTTTTTAGGAAATTAACAAAATAAATAAATAAAAATTAAATGTATTATTGGTGACATTGACATAATGCCAAACTGAAATTTTTCGTTGTCTTTTAATTTAAAAAATCATGTGAATTCCAGTCCAGACCAAAAGTTCATATATATTATAGTTAGTCGGACCTTCTGGCTCCTAAGCTTTCCATATCTGGCCTCGATTTTCATCTAACTCCATTCTCAAGATTAATGAAGGACAGATGGATGACAAATAACTGCAGAAATATATTGGTCAAAAATTGCAGCTGAACTAGAATTAAGTAGCATTTTATTAAAACTATTAACAACAGAATTCATATAAAAATTTTCACATTCATTTGATTTAAAATAATTAATGTTAATAATAATAAAATGAAATAATCAGTTTTCTGAATTCTACAATTCATTAGAAAAAAATTACTGACTATATTTCATTCTACATATTTTCAAGAAATAATCTCAAGAATTTTCTAATGAATTTTTAAAAATAATTCATGTATTGATTTTAAACTAAATTATATATATAGAAAATGCTGCAGATAATTGTAACTCAAATTTATCAATAAAGTTTAATTTAAAAAATTTAATTTTATGATACTAATTTTAAAATGTAATTTCAATTTGAATTTCATTCACTAATCAGATTTTCTGTAATTATAGTTTATAATGGTTATTTTATAAAGAAGAAATTAGAATTAATTCTATTATTCATTAGATTATCAATTAGATTCAATTTAATCTATTATTTTAAATTTTATTACTATATTAGTATAACTTATTTATAAATTTTACCTTTTTAAAATGATTTAATGTATCTTGACTGCTTTCACACATTTCTGTGATTAATATAACACCAGTAATCAGCACCCCTAAAAGAAAAAATTTATAAATTAATAATATATTTATAAACTATGTTAAATGATAATTTCATGACATCAATATTCAATTTAGGCAATATAAGCTACAGATGTAATTATATAACATAATTTATACAGTGCTTTTAATCAAAGTGCTGTTCCATATTTTAATTTACATATCATTTTGAATAATAATAATAAAACATAATTAATTACAAGGTACAAGATACAAATTATCAAGGTATTATCTTGATAATTTTTATCTTTTATTGATTAGTACATTTTATAAATGATTTGTAAGAAAACAAAATGACTGTACTAAATGAGTCATTCACAGGCAAAATCAATTAACTTCCTTAGTTATGTAAAAAATATAAATATAGCATATCCTCAGAATAATCATTATTATTTTATCTCATTAGATGAAAACTATGCCCATAATAAAACATTCTACAATGTTTATTTAACACGTTTAACGCCATACGACGCGCGTGCCATTGTAATGGAAATTCCCGTACAGTGCCATACGACCGCCGGTAGACGTAAACAATGTAGTTTTACTCAAGATTAAATTTCCCTGGCCTCGTACGACGTTTTCTGCATGCTTAGTGCTGGCCTCTCGTGGACATCTATTCAGTTGGCTTCGGACGCCGGCGGTCGTATGGCAAACCGGTTCTAGCTACGACCGCCGGCGCGTCATGTAGCGTCATGACGCAGTACAAGGTCGGCGGTCGTAGTTTTTTTTTAAAAATAAAACTCTATTTTATATCTGATAGTGGTTTATTTTAATAGTAAATAATTTAAAATATCGAAAATTAGTTTAATTATCCTCTTTTATCGCATATAAAGTAAATAATATTATTAAAAAAAAATTAAAGTATATAANAGTTTTTGTTCGTATCGTGGAGCAAAAATATGTTCAAATTTCATGTTGTATCCTGAAAATTTCGTATGCTGGGGCGTTCGTATCCTGAGGTACCACTGTATTTATAATTATTAAATTTAATACAAGATGGAAGCATAACTGACTACTTCTAGTCAAATTAATTAATTCCTATTATTTAATTATAGCCTTTATATAGCCTAAGAATTTGGCATATTGTTTGGAGTGTTTATCAAACATATTGTCTGTGATTTTTTTTTTGTTTTCTGCAATTTGAATTCTCATTCCAGGTTGGTTCATTCTGTGCTAGAAGAAAAGATGATGATGATTCATGTGCCTTAACAATGCACATTATATAATTTTCTTTGAATAAACATTATACATAAAATATTTGAGAATTTTTTTTGGCGTGGAATGCATTATCGTATTTTACATTAATTTCTATGGGAAAAATTGTTTTGCTTAACGAGCGTTTCGTGTTATGAGTACAATTCTGAAACGAATTATGCTCATTAAGCAAGGTTCCACCATACTAAAAATAATATATTGTTTTATCTGTAATATTATAACATATGAGATTGTTACTTTATAAGAAATTTAACTTCTCAAAACAATTAAGGAAGCATGTGTATATATCTTCACATTATACTAAATGCAATAATAGTACATCACCATTCCAATGACATAAAATTATATTGTTCTTTTATATAATAACAATCATCAATGTTCTCAACATATTCATAGCAGTTAATCTGTAAGATGTCAACCAAAAATATAGTAGAAAAATGATAAAATTTATCATTACCCTGCAACATAAACTTAATGGGATAGTTCATGAATGTTGGAATATCAATTGTAATCTTCTAAAAGACTTAATTCATCTTCTAATTACATCTCATGAAACTAATTATCGAAACAAAAACATCTGAGATGTAAAAAAATTGTTCTGAGTGAAAAATTATGACAATCTAAATGACAGTCAAAATTTTTCTTAGGAGTTTTTCTTTGGTAGTGCTCGAAAGTGATACCCATAAGATTTTTACCGATATTACTCTTTTCTACATTTTGCTTCAAAGCAAAATGTAGAAAAGAGAATAATACAGGTATCTAAACATACAATTGATAACTAAACAAAGCTTTGTTTAGATATCAATGATTTGTTTAATTAAAAAATTGTTAGATATTAATTTTGTTTTTTGTTTAATAATTGCATTATTACATCAAGACATTATTACATTGGTGACTGCTGATAAAGCACATTGCTGACCAAATGCACTGCCAACCAAATGGTTTCAATATTCACTTCTGTCTGTCCCAACCTATATTTTCAATATGCTGTTTAGGAAAATCATTATAAAAACTTTTAATTGGCATAAATTTGAACTTTGATTATTCTGAGTAGCATTTGAATAAAATTCATTCATTTCAATGTAATTTTATCCTAATAAGCATAAAATTAAACCATAAAACTGAAATAGCTCTACGAGAAACCCTCATGAACTTTGACCTATAAACCCAGAAGTTTCACAAGCATGCACCTCACCAATCATGAGAAAGGCTTAAGTTTAAAATTTGAGCTTTCTAGACCCTGTAATTTTTCTCTACAGTCAGCTGCAGTGTCGAATGAAGAAAAAGAAGAAGGAAAATTTTATTCCATTTTTTTATTCACTTCTGTTCATTGGTCTCATCGTGGAGCAAAAATATGTTCAAATTTCATGTTGTATCCTGAAAATTTCGTATGCTGGGGCGTTCGTATCCTGAGGTACCACTGTATTTATAATTATTAAATTTAATACAAGATGGAAGCATAACTGACTACTTCTAGTCAAATTAATTAATTCCTATTATTTAATTATAGCCTTTATATAGCCTAAGAATTTGGCATATTGTTTGGAGTGTTTATCAAACATATTGTCTGTGATTTTTTTTTTGTTTTCTGCAATTTGAATTCTCATTCCAGGTTGGTTCATTCTGTGCTAGAAGAAAAGATGATGATGATTCATGTGCCTTAACAATGCACATTATATAATTTTCTTTGAATAAACATTATACATAAAATATTTGAGAATTTTTTTTGGCGTGGAATGCATTATCGTATTTTACATTAATTTCTATGGGAAAAATTGTTTTGCTTAACGAGCGTTTCGTGTTATGAGTACAATTCTGAAACGAATTATGCTCATTAAGCAAGGTTCCACCATACTAAAAATAATATATTGTTTTATCTGTAATATTATAACATATGAGATTGTTACTTTATAAGAAATTTAACTTCTCAAAACAATTAAGGAAGCATGTGTATATATCTTCACATTATACTAAATGCAATAATAGTACATCACCATTCCAATGACATAAAATTATATTGTTCTTTTATATAATAACAATCATCAATGTTCTCAACATATTCATAGCAGTTAATCTGTAAGATGTCAACCAAAAATATAGTAGAAAAATGATAAAATTTATCATTACCCTGCAACATAAACTTAATGGGATAGTTCATGAATGTTGGAATATCAATTGTAATCTTCTAAAAGACTTAATTCATCTTCTAATTACATCTCATGAAACTAATTATCGAAACAAAAACATCTGAGATGTAAAAAAATTGTTCTGAGTGAAAAATTATGACAATCTAAATGACAGTCAAAATTTTTCTTAGGAGTTTTTCTTTGGTAGTGCTCGAAAGTGATACCCATAAGATTTTTACCGATATTACTCTTTTCTACATTTTGCTTCAAAGCAAAATGTAGAAAAGAGAATAATACAGGTATCTAAACATACAATTGATAACTAAACAAAGCTTTGTTTAGATATCAATGATTTGTTTAATTAAAAAATTGTTAGATATTAATTTTGTTTTTTGTTTAATAATTGCATTATTACATCAAGACATTATTACATTGGTGACTGCTGATAAAGCACATTGCTGACCAAATGCACTGCCAACCAAATGGTTTCAATATTCACTTCTGTCTGTCCCAACCTATATTTTCAATATGCTGTTTAGGAAAATCATTATAAAAACTTTTAATTGGCATAAATTTGAACTTTGATTATTCTGAGTAGCATTTGAATAAAATTCATTCATTTCAATGTAATTTTATCCTAATAAGCATAAAATTAAACCATAAAACTGAAATAGCTCTACGAGAAACCCTCATGAACTTTGACCTATAAACCCAGAAGTTTCACAAGCATGCACCTCACCAATCATGAGAAAGGCTTAAGTTTAAAATTTGAGCTTTCTAGACCCTGTAATTTTTCTCTACAGTCAGCTGCAGTGTCGAATGAAGAAAAAGAAGAAGGAAAAAAATACAATTTCTGCACAATTTCAATTGCTTATATTTCAGCAACCACTTTATAGAAAATCTTGAAATTTTGTACAATACCTAAGAAAACAATTACCTTTCAAATGAGATATTCAAAATTACTTTATATGTTTGGGGATGAAACATTGATCCTCCGAAAATCAGCAACTCAGATTCCTGTATATATGTGACTCCTGATATTACAATATATCTGCTTATAATATCTGAGCAGAATGCTAAAGATTTAAGGGAGCATGCCAACAATGTATACAGTTTATATCCTTTACTTTAAGCATATCATAGATAGTATATGTCTTATTAAAAAAAAGTTACAATTAATTGCAAAGTTGGAAAATAACTAGTTTTTTAAGAACCCATCTTTATATTATTGGCATCTCAAGTATGTTTCTTGATCTATATCATCAGGAAATAATGTGTAGTCTTTTGATTTGGTATTTTTGAGACCAGAATTTCCTCTCATTAAAAAAAAATATTCAATTATTTCCTTTATTTCTCATATAGGAAATTAGTTGGTACTGTCAGATAAGATCCTAAAAAATTAGACTGCAGGTTCAAAACTTTTGTATATTTTTTCCAACTACTGGTTTATAACAAATCCCATGTATATTCTATTATATTATTCAATTAGGAAATTTGTATTATGAATTGTAAAATATTAATCCTATCCTATGTAAGATACTAACCCCTGATATCTTTTACATATTTAAATTTTGTAGAATCAATATTTGTTATGACACTGTTGATACGCAAACAAACTATACCAGAATATCATTCATTTATTTATTAATATCCAAATTTACATTTAATTACATTAAATTCTAAGTATTCAAGACCCACTATTTCCTGTTAACATGAAACCATTAGAATGCTTTCCTTAATTCTCAAATAAAGTAAACTTCATTTACTGTAATCATGAATAATATTATCAAAATAAGCAGGCTACAAAACATACAAGGTATAATATATAACAAAAATTATTCAATTATTATAATCTGAATTCAGTTATTGTTATCACTATTGATCTTAATCAGTTCTTTAAATTAATCATTTTAATCGTTATTTGCTCACAATAGTCTAATTTGCTGGCATTATGCTAGCTGTTGTTGAAGTTGGTAGCAGACAAACAATACTGAATGAATTACTTATTAATATGTAATAATAATTAGTAAGTCTTCAAGTTATACATTTTTAAATTATTTTAGATTGTCCTTTTAATGTTAGAGTCAACAAAACCAGAATTTCCTCTAATTGTTGTTTTATTTACTTACTTCATATGTTATCTATAAGTTTAGGAAATTCATAAACTGAAGGATTTGAATGTAAAAGGTTGTACTTTAAAAGGCAAAATTATAGAGATTTCTGACTGACTTTGTCTTCCCTCTAAATTGACACTTCTGATCATTTCACAAGATGGATGTTAAGTAGAGCAACATATCAGTAACTTAAAAAGTACACATTTTAAGTTACTGATATCATTTCTTTTTATGGATTACCATCTTTTACATTCAAACACTTCAATTATTACAATAAGCAGAATCTACTGTACTTTCAAGCCTTTTTGATCATCAGGAGTGGAAATTACAGGAAAAAACTTAACTTTGTTATAAAACTCAAATCAAACACTATTAGTTTCAAATTCAAACCATTTAATTCTAAATATTGTTGAATTTCTATTAAAAGATGTATGTGTAATTTATAAGTAAATATTAGAAAAATAAGGAAGTAAGAATAACCTAAAAATCACATGAATTATTATTGTTCTGAAAGTTCTTTTTATGCATGTATTCTTTTGTGCACCTATACAACAGTACAACAACTGATATAGGGGAAAAAATTGCTTCAATATAAAGAAAAAATATAAATGTCACATGCTCCTCTTAATTGTTCTGAATCCAGTAAAATATATTTTAAACAATATAAATTTTTTCATATTACACTTTTTATAAAATTAAATACAGTAGAGCATCGATTATGTGACTCAATTGGGGACTCAGGTTGGTTGGATAACTGAAAAAATGGGATAACCGAAAAGAATAAAAAAATACATTATTAGTATAGTATATTAGTATATCTCATGTAATTAGTATATTAGTATATTGCTATTAACCAACTTCGCATTGAATTTTCATCGATGTTAAGCCTAACAAATTTTTTTAAAAGTAATAATCGTTGCTATTGTATCGTTAAAAATTATTTTTAAATTATTTTATTGCTCACAAAACAAACAACCACTCATAATTAGAAAATTAAGTCTCGTTTAAATACTGGCCTCCCTTCAATGGTCAAGCCAGTGTTGCCAGCTAAAACATGCAAAAATTTAACAAAAATAATATTAAAGTAGCCAAGACGTAGCCAAATATTATAGTGCCACATCACTAGCGGACATTTGAAATTTTCTGACTAGAACGGCCAGTTAACTGATGTGAAGGTTAATCGGGGGTCAGATAATCGATGCTCTACTGTATTGTAAGTAATTAATAAATTCTAAAATTACTTTTTTAGACAATTTGTTATTAATAAATGCACATCTTGTCTTTCATCCAATAGAAGCATAGCTCCCAAATAACCAATTCTTTTATCTGTAAACCTTGGTGATGCTATCAATTTAAGACATTCCAACTACAAAAAAAAAAAAAAATGAATTTTAATTAAAACTTCTAATAATATAAATATATTTAAAAAACTTTAATCTATATTAGAATTATTCATCACATATCAACTAAAAATAATATAAATTCATATAACTCATTCAGTTTTCAGTATTTAAAATATTTAAAAATTTAACATTTTCATTAAGTCTGTTAATTTATATTTGAAAGCATTTGTTATATTAAAAGAAAAAAACTTCATTTTGTGGAGATATGCCATATTAAATAAGTCTAGTAAATTCTATATATTACATTAGTGGTAGCTGAACAAACCTATGAAAAAAAAACGTTAAACAAAAATCATATTTGAAAATATAAATCATTTAAAAGAATACCAAATGGTATTTGATTGTAGATGGTATAGTTCATGAATGGGAGAGTGAGGAACTTTAAATATGTAAAGTTTATAGGTCGATATTTGTAAGCATTAATTCAGATTATCAGATTTTAACCTTAACTTAATGTAATATTGTTTTATTTTTTTAGAAAATATTGTCCTATTCAACATATTATTATAATGAAGAGAATCTAGGGATTTAAATGCATTTTATAAGAACAATAAAGATAATAATATAAATAANATATTATTAAAAAAAATTAAAGTATATAAGTGCATTTTAATATATATTTACAGAAAAAAAACATCATTTGCAGTCGAAACAAAGTGTGAAATACTTTAACACACAGATGTAAATACTTTTAAGTAGGGAAGGACATCTAATTACAGTGGGGTTGTAAAATTTATTGCCTGGGAGAAAGCAGTGTCAGGTTCAAGGTCATACGACTCCCCACGTCTTTGTTTATATATACTTTTCTTATCGTCGCTCTCCTGACTGTTGTACATAGACCCTTTTATTTATGTTATAATCAATTATTAGATATCAAATTTTCATTTTTTGGCCCCCCTGACGGAAAGTATCATATTACAACAAGCAGTTAATGTGTTAAATTTTAATTTTAAAATAGTATATATATTGTTTTATCAATTTCTCTATAACTACACAGTCTTTCCAGCATGAATCCAAGGAAAGCTGCAGCAATTGAAGAAGAGACATACAGATTGTGCATTAATGTATGGTATTTCATTTATGTACAATTTTCTAGAGTAGACAGATGAAGGTTGTTTCATCTGTATTGTTTCAGCTGAAAAAATATAGATGATTCCCCTTTATAAATACATAGTTTCCCTTGTATATATCCATAAAGATAATTTCTAATTGTCACAGAACTACTGAAATTTCAAATCAAAAGCTAATACATCTCTATCTTTGTTTTGTGAGGTTAATCAATTTGGCAAATGAGCAACTCAAATGTACTGTAATTTTATAAAAAAATCATAGATAATTTTTTGGCTTTAATATTAAATTTTAATTAATTTTGAAATAATTTTTAATTTACCATGATTCTTCTCTGTTAATAATAAGCGTGTAGAAGAAACAAACATTTCTCCTAATTCTGGAACTTTTTTAATAATGCGAAATGCACATAAAGCTGCCTAAATAAAAATAATAAATTTTTAACAAATATAAATTAATGTTATAAGTGAAATGAAAAGTTTATATTTTTCTTAGACCTTTTTCCTTATAAATGCATTTGATGATTTTAACAATTTCTCCACTTCACCAGCAAGATCTCTGCTCATTTCCGGTGAACAAATTGCACCGAGGGCACACAATGCTAACCCAACAACAAATTGAGTTTGGCTGTTTAAATCACTGTAATAAATGCATAAAAAATGAAAAATCACAATAAAATTAATTTTTCTAACAAAATTTTTCAAATGCTGAAATTTTATATATTAAACTAAAATTGACTACAGATAGTATATTCTTATCTTTCATATTTGTGAAATCTTAATATAATATTGACATTCATCCAACCAAAAGCCAAATTAATCGAGCAGAAATTATGCTACAAATATTAATTAGAAATTATGTAATTTCTGTCCAATTAATTTGGCTGATAGTTGGATGATTATCAATACATCAGATTTTTGGGATGTTTATATATAATATTGACAGTATATGAATGGTAGATAATTTGTTCTAAAAAATCCATTTAAAATAAATATTAAAATAATAATCTTATTTTTGTATAATTTCCATGTACAGTGGAACCTCATTTAAAGAGCGATGTTTTGCATAATGAGTGAAGAAACAAGGGAAAGTCCCGAATTGTGTGCATGCTCCATCAGTCTGTGTTTAGCACTTGTTCCACTAGCATCTTACTGTTGCTTGTGATTACATATATTTCCAAACTTGTGTTCACACACATTATGTATAAACATCAACAACCATAGTCTGTTATATAATAAACCCGCCAAATGATATGCCAAATTTTTGGGCTATGTAAAAGCTATAATTATATATTAGAAATTAATTAATTTGACTAGAGGTATGCAGTTATGCTGCCATCTCATATTAAATTTAATGACCAATTCCAAATTAAAGTTTAGAAATGTCTGAATTAAAAATTAACTACAGTGGTACCTCAGGATACAAAATTAATCCGTTCCAAAACTGAGATTGTATCATGAAAATGTAAGGTGAATCATTTTTTCCCATACGATTACATGTAAAACCAAATAATTTGTTCCAACACAAAAAACACACTCAAATTAAAGCTAAGTAGTACATTAAAAAAAAATAACTATAGAAAGGAAAACACTGAAAAATGCATTTTGTAGTTGTAAATGTATAAATAACCATAATAAATAATAACTGATAAAAAAAAATGTAGTTTTATTTGCAAATCACACCTAAATTCAAAATTTCCAGCAAATAAAAGTCAAAAACACATATCGAATGTTCTTTTAAAAAATTTAAGAGGCAGCCAAGTTCTATTTATAGAACGGTTTTTCCAGTTGATATTTCCTGAGGAAGGCTGATAAATTTAGTGGCTGAAAACGTTTGATATGTGTTTTTCACTTTTATTTGCTGGAAATTTTGAATTTAGGTGTGACTTGCAAATATTACAGTTCCAGTTTATGGTGAGGTTGTATTTAGTAGTTTTATTTGCACTTTATCTTTGAAGATAGATGACGATGGAGGTGTAAACTGGTGGAAGAAGAGAGGGGGATGGAAAATGATACTAAAACTTAACTTACATAACATAATGTAACAATAACTTAGAAAAGATTAAAAAATTAGTGTTGTTTTATATATAAATTTTTATTCACTGCTTTTTGATTTCTTTCCTTCACTTCCACCAGCACTTTCACTGGATAGAGGTCACTTGGTAAAATATCTATCCAAAGAGGTTTGGCTTTGCCTACTTTTTAAAATATTTCTAAAATGACTTAGGCAAATGTCATTACTCTGAGCAACAATACGACCAGTGAGAACCTTTTCGGGATGTTTCTTTTCAATAAAATCAGTCACTTTCTGATAATACCTCAAGATTTCCTTTATCGAGCGAGATCCTTCCACAACAAAGCAAACACGTGAACTGAGACCAATGAACAGAAGTGAATAAAAAAATGGTGCAGCGAACTAATGTAACATCATATGGTGAGTTTTTGTTTGTATCGTGGAGCAAAAATATGTTCAAATTTCATGTTGTATCCTGAAAATTTCGTATGCTGGGGCGTTCGTATCCTGAGGTACCACTGTATTTATAATTATTAAATTTAATACAAGATGGAAGCATAACTGACTACTTCTAGTCAAATTAATTAATTCCTATTATTTAATTATAGCCTTTACATAGCCTAAGAATTTGGCATATTGTTTGGAGTGTTTATCAAACATATTGTCTGTGATTTTTTTTTTTGTTTTCTGCAATTTGAATTCTCATTCCAGGTTGGTTCATTCTGTGCTAGAAGAAAAGATGATGATGATTCATGTGCCTTAACAATGCACATTATATAATTTTCTTTGAATAAACATTATACATAAAATATTTGAGAATTTTTTTTGGCGTGGAATGCATTATCGTATTTTACATTAATTTCTATGGGAAAAATTGTTTTGCTTAACGAGCGTTTCGTGTTATGAGTACAATTCTGAAACGAATTATGCTCATTAAGCAAGGTTCCACCATACTAAAAATAATATATTGTTTTATCTGTAATATTATAACATATGAGATTGTTACTTTATAAGAAATTTAACTTCTCAAAACAATTAAGGAAGCATGTGTATATATCTTCACATTATACTAAATGCAATAATAGTACATCACCATTCCAATGACATAAAATTATATTGTTCTTTTATATAATAACAATCATCAATGTTCTCAACATATTCATAGCAGTTAATCTGTAAGATGTCAACCAAAAATATAGTAGAAAAATGATAAAATTTATCATTACCCTGCAACATAAACTTAATGGGATAGTTCATGAATGTTGGAATATCAATTGTAATCTTCTAAAAGACTTAATTCATCTTCTAATTACATCTCATGAAACTAATTATCGAAACAAAAACATCTGAGATGTAAAAAAATTGTTCTGAGTGAAAAATTATGACAATCTAAATGACAGTCAAAATTTTTCTTAGGAGTTTTTCTTTGGTAGTGCTCGAAAGTGATACCCATAAGATTTTTACCGATATTACTCTTTTCTACATTTTGCTTCAAAGCAAAATGTAGAAAAGAGAATAATACAGGTATCTAAACATACAATTGATAACTAAACAAAGCTTTGTTTAGATATCAATGATTTGTTTAATTAAAAAATTGTTAGATATTAATTTTGTTTTTTGTTTAATAATTGCATTATTACATCAAGACATTATTACATTGGTGACTGCTGATAAAGCACATTGCTGACCAAATGCACTGCCAACCAAATGGTTTCAATATTCACTTCTGTCTGTCCCAACCTATATTTTCAATATGCTGTTTAGGAAAATCATTATAAAAACTTTTAATTGGCATAAATTTGAACTTTGATTATTCTGAGTAGCATTTGAATAAAATTCATTCATTTCAATGTAATTTTATCCTAATAAGCATAAAATTAAACCATAAAACTGAAATAGCTCTACGAGAAACCCTCATGAACTTTGACCTATAAACCCAGAAGTTTCACAAGCATGCACCTCACCAATCATGAGAAAGGCTTAAGTTTAAAATTTGAGCTTTCTAGACCCTGTAATTTTTCTCTACAGTCAGCTGCAGTGTCGAATGAAGAAAAAGAAGAAGGAAAAAAATACAATTTCTGCACAATTTCAATTGCTTATATTTCAGCAACCACTTTATAGAAAATCTTGAAATTTTGTACAATACCTAAGAAAACAATTACCTTTCAAATGAGATATTCAAAATTACTTTATATGTTTGGGGATGAAACATTGATCCTCCGAAAATCAGCAACTCAGATTCCTGTATATATGTGACTCCTGATATTACAATATATCTGCTTATAATATCTGAGCAGAATGCTAAAGATTTAAGGGAGCATGCCAACAATGTATACAGTTTATATCCTTTACTTTAAGCATATCATAGATAGTATATGTCTTATTAAAAAAAAGTTACAATTAATTGCAAAGTTGGAAAATAACTAGTTTTTTAAGAACCCATCTTTATATTATTGGCATCTCAAGTATGTTTCTTGATCTATATCATCAGGAAATAATGTGTAGTCTTTTGATTTGGTATTTTTGAGACCAGAATTTCCTCTCATTAAAAAAAAATATTCAATTATTTCCTTTATTTCTCATATAGGAAATTAGTTGGTACTGTCAGATAAGATCCTAAAAAATTAGACTGCAGGTTCAAAACTTTTGTATATTTTTTCCAACTACTGGTTTATAACAAATCCCATGTATATTCTATTATATTATTCAATTAGGAAATTTGTATTATGAATTGTAAAATATTAATCCTATCCTATGTAAGATACTAACCCCTGATATCTTTTACATATTTAAATTTTGTAGAATCAATATTTGTTATGACACTGTTGATACGCAAACAAACTATACCAGAATATCATTCATTTATTTATTAATATCCAAATTTACATTTAATTACATTAAATTCTAAGTATTCAAGACCCACTATTTCCTGTTAACATGAAACCATTAGAATGCTTTCCTTAATTCTCAAATAAAGTAAACTTCATTTACTGTAATCATGAATAATATTATCAAAATAAGCAGGCTACAAAACATACAAGGTATAATATATAACAAAAATTATTCAATTATTATAATCTGAATTCAGTTATTGTTATCACTATTGATCTTAATCAGTTCTTTAAATTAATCATTTTAATCGTTATTTGCTCACAATAGTCTAATTTGCTGGCATTATGCTAGCTGTTGTTGAAGTTGGTAGCAGACAAACAATACTGAATGAATTACTTATTAATATGTAATAATAATTAGTAAGTCTTCAAGTTATACATTTTTAAATTATTTTAGATTGTCCTTTTAATGTTAGAGTCAACAAAACCAGAATTTCCTCTAATTGTTGTTTTATTTACTTACTTCATATGTTATCTATAAGTTTAGGAAATTCATAAACTGAAGGATTTGAATGTAAAAGGTTGTACTTTAAAAGGCAAAATTATAGAGATTTCTGACTGACTTTGTCTTCCCTCTAAATTGACACTTCTGATCATTTCACAAGATGGATGTTAAGTAGAGCAACATATCAGTAACTTAAAAAGTACACATTTTAAGTTACTGATATCATTTCTTTTTATGGATTACCATCTTTTACATTCAAACACTTCAATTATTACAATAAGCAGAATCTACTGTACTTTCAAGCCTTTTTGATCATCAGGAGTGGAAATTACAGGAAAAAACTTAACTTTGTTATAAAACTCAAATCAAACACTATTAGTTTCAAATTCAAACCATTTAATTCTAAATATTGTTGAATTTCTATTAAAAGATGTATGTGTAATTTATAAGTAAATATTAGAAAAATAAGGAAGTAAGAATAACCTAAAAATCACATGAATTATTATTGTTCTGAAAGTTCTTTTTATGCATGTATTCTTTTGTGCACCTATACAACAGTACAACAACTGATATAGGGGAAAAAATTGCTTCAATATAAAGAAAAAATATAAATGTCACATGCTCCTCTTAATTGTTCTGAATCCAGTAAAATATATTTTAAACAATATAAATTTTTTCATATTACACTTTTTATAAAATTAAATACAGTAGAGCATCGATTATGTGACTCAATTGGGGACTCAGGTTGGTTGGATAACTGAAAAAATGGGATAACCGAAAAGAATAAAAAAATACATTATTAGTATAGTATATTAGTATATCTCATGTAATTAGTATATTAGTATATTGCTATTAACCAACTTCGCATTGAATTTTCATCGATGTTAAGCCTAACAAATTTTTTTAAAAGTAATAATCGTTGCTATTGTATCGTTAAAAATTATTTTTAAATTATTTTATTGCTCACAAAACAAACAACCACTCATAATTAGAAAATTAAGTCTCGTTTAAATACTGGCCTCCCTTCAATGGTCAAGCCAGTGTTGCCAGCTAAAACATGCAAAAATTTAACAAAAATAATATTAAAGTAGCCAAGACGTAGCCAAATATTATAGTGCCACATCACTAGCGGACATTTGAAATTTTCTGACTAGAACGGCCAGTTAACTGATGTGAAGGTTAATCGGGGGTCAGATAATCGATGCTCTACTGTATTGTAAGTAATTAATAAATTCTAAAATTACTTTTTTAGACAATTTGTTATTAATAAATGCACATCTTGTCTTTCATCCAATAGAAGCATAGCTCCCAAATAACCAATTCTTTTATCTGTAAACCTTGGTGATGCTATCAATTTAAGACATTCCAACTACAAAAAAAAAAAAATGAATTTTAATTAAAACTTCTAATAATATAAATATATTTAAAAAACTTTAATCTATATTAGAATTATTCATCACATATCAACTAAAAATAATATAAATTCATATAACTCATTCAGTTTTCAGTATTTAAAATATTTAAAAATTTAACATTTTCATTAAGTCTGTTAATTTATATTTGAAAGCATTTGTTATATTAAAAGAAAAAAACTTCATTTTGTGGAGATATGCCATATTAAATAAGTCTAGTAAATTCTATATATTACATTAGTGGTAGCTGAACAAACCTATGAAAAAAAAACGTTAAACAAAAATCATATTTGAAAATATAAATCATTTAAAAGAATACCAAATGGTATTTGATTGTAGATGGTATAGTTCATGAATGGGAGAGTGAGGAACTTTAAATATGTAAAGTTTATAGGTCGATATTTGTAAGCATTAATTCAGATTATCAGATTTTAACCTTAACTTAATGTAATATTGTTTTATTTTTTTAGAAAATATTGTCCTATTCAACATATTATTATAATGAAGAGAATCTAGGGATTTAAATGCATTTTATAAGAACAATAAAGATAATAATATAAATAATGATTTTTATAATTTATTTAAAAAATTGCTGTTGATCTAATAAGTTTAACCTTGGATAAAGAGTTGGGACAGAAAAACAGGTAACAATTGTTTTATCTCAAAAGTTACATATAGTATAAATAATCTGATTTGGTATAAAAAAGAGTATAAATTATATTGGGTTGATGCAAAAGTTCGTCCCGTTTTTTTTAAAAGAATCAAAGAAAAATTTTATTTACTAAAACTTACATTTAATCAATATAGTATGTGCCATTCTGTTCGATGACCTTTCTCCATCTTTCCGGTAGCTGCATAATCCCGTGCTCATAGAATTTCTGAGATTTCTGGCTAAAAAACTGATCCAAGTGATTTTTCAAGTCTTCCAAGGAAGTAAAGTTTTTACCATCTAAGCTGTTTTGAAGTGATCTAAATAAATGGTAGTCAGAGGGTGCAAGGTCAGGAGAGTATGGTGGATGGACCAAAACATCCCAATCAAGTTGTAAAAGTTTTTGTCGGGTGGCCAAAGACACGTGTGGTCTAGCGTTGTCTTGATGGAACACAATGCCCTTTCTGTTGGCTAATTCAGGTCGCTTCTGGTCAATTGCTCGCTTTAATTCACTTAGTTGTGAACAGTATTTCTCTGAATTAATGGTCTGATTTTCAGGTAACAGCTCATAATAAATGATTCCCCTCCAGTCCCACCAAATGCATAGCATAACCTTCTTTGGATGTAAACTGGCTTTTGCGCTGGTTGAAGGGGCATCTCCGTGCTTACACCATGATCTTTTACGCTTAACATTATTGTACACAATCCATTTTTCATCACCTGTAATGATTCGCTTTAAAAATGGGTCAATTTCATTGCGCTTCAATAGAGAATCGCAAGCAGAAATTCGGTCTATCAAATTTTTTTCTGTTAACTCGTGCGGCACCCATACATCGGCCTTGCTTACCATTCCAAGTTGATGTAATCGCCTTGACACTGTTGACTGATTGATTCCAAGAATTTCTCCAATCTCTCGAGTTGTTTTGTGTCGATCACTTTCAATTAGTGCCAATATTTTGTCGTCATCAGCCTCGGCTGGTCGTCCAGAACGTGGTGCATCGCTAAGGTTAAAATTGCTTTCACGAAACTTTCTAAACCACTTACGGCACGTGGAATCATCAATGGCTCCCTCACCATACACAGAACATATCTTTTTTTGTGTCTGCGAAGCATTCTTGCCTTTTCGGAAATAAAAAAGCATAATATGTCGAAAATGCTCCTTATTTTCTGCCATTTGTAATGCTTAACAAAATTTTAAAAACACAACTAAGTAAGACAACTTTATTCTCAAATACTAGCTGAGATCCCTTCTGTCAAACAACGTCGAAATTTTACACATGTGAAAGAAATAACACTTCAGTGTTGTGCTTTTAGCCAGTTGGTGTTAAAAACGGGACGAACTTTTGCATCAACCCAATAGTTATAGTCTTTCAAAAAAGAATAAATTGAAAGAGTTAGTTTTCACATTTGCATAAGGCTCAATATAAGCTCATAATCATATATTGTACTTACTGGATAAATAAAATACGATAAACAACACACCTTTAACAATCCAGCAAATTAAATTTACTAAAATAAAAATGTTTTCGATTGTTTTAACTGATCTTCCTCAGTTACCATAAAATAGAACGTGAAAATAGAACATAAATTTAAAAATAAGTGAAAATGAGAATTTTGAAATAAATACATAAATAACAGAAAATATAGTTGTGGACAATAAAATAAATAACAAATAAATGTCTCTTAATAAAATTAATCTTCATAAAAAGACCGCCATGCGGTAGCCAATGTGTCTGCATCTCTATGGTTGATGCAACTGGTTCTTTTGTGTGCTTTAAAAATCTCCAATCTTTGAAGATATTTCATCATGTGTATATTTGTTGTTAGTTTGATAATTGATGCTTGCTCCCATTGGACATGAATGTCCTGTTGCTGTGCATAAGCTTCTTACCAATTGTATATTTATGCTCCTTGAGCCATTGTTGTAAGTTGCCCATCGTGGCACCCACATAGACTAGTTTAGATTCAAAATGTTGGTCGTTTAATGGGATGGAGTAGATTCTCATGGCCAAATTACGGTTATATTGCTTTTTATTGTTCCTTAAAATTCTGAAAACCATAGGGTTGCGTCGATATACTTGGAGATTATTAGCCTTGGCTGCCTTCTTATGTATTTTCCTTAAAAATGAGATATAATTTAAAACCACCCTTTGTTTTCAGTCCAATGAGGTATGCTGATGTTTTGTTGCTTGAAAGTTTGTGATTAATTTCTCTATCATTTTCCTCGGGTATCCTTGTTCTGCAATTCTTAAGATGTAATTTAGCTCTGTTACTGTGTCATTTATGCTTGTACAATGCATATAAACTCTTCTTCTCCAAGATTTTTATTTTTATTAAGCGACATTTATTTGCTATTTATTTTATTCCTGTAATTATTTATTTTATTGTCCACAACTACATTTTCAGTTATTTATGTATTTATTTCAGAATTCTCATTTTCATTTACTTTTAAATCTATGTTCTGTAATAAACAGTAGATTTATTTCTGTTTCCATTGCGCTTGATAATTCAATCTTTGCTTTTTCAGCAGCCTGTTTTCACATTCTATTTTATGGTAACTGAGGAAGATCATTAAAATGATCAAAAACGTTTTTATTTTAGTAAGTTTTATTTGCTGAATTGTTAAAGGTGTGTTTTTTATAATAACCTCATAATTCTTAATTAAAGACAGACTGATAATTACTACTGATCAATTATTAAAAATAAGTGTTGAATCTCTTTATCTTAAATTGAAAATAATTTTTAAGGTCAACAGAAAAGGTCCCATCCAATTCCTTGTATAAAACTTCATATGTAACTACATTAACTAAATTGATATTTCTTCAATACTTTTGGGATAAAAAGGGTGTAAGAGACTTTTGACTCACTGTATATATTGTGATGTAAAAAATATATAATAATAAGAATGTTATATTAATTATAAAAAATAATATGTGAATTTATAATTTACTTCATAATATATTTAAAAATGTAAAAGAATGAAATTTAAAACAACATAGTTGAATTTGGCTGTAAAAGCACAGTTGTAACAAGTTCACAATTATTATGAGCAAATGTTTATTTTGTTTTCAGTTAAGACTTATTTTTGGTCTAGGGAATCTAGACCAAAAATAATAACTTCCGCTTATGAGCAAATCTGTCCCACATAGCACTCAATCAGTGGAAAAATCATTGTTACTTGAGTCAACTGCATACTGTTGTCAAAACTATGTTAAAAGTATTTTATGACCTTTTATGACTCATTTTTAAATTTATCCTTTAGTTTTCAAACTCCTTTTTTCATAAATGTTGTCTAACAAAAGAAAGTGCTTTTCAATTCACAAAAAAAAATTGGAATTATCCAACAATTAGTGTACAGATTAAAAAAATGACAGCTATTTTAAAAAACATATAGCATAGTAAGTGGAGAAGCCCATTCTACTGATCCAGAAACAACTAATAAATGAATTGAGTACTCTTGGATAGAGCACAAGAAAAATTTTAATAATGAGGACATCTACAATGCAAATGAAATGGAGCATTTTATAGCTTGATATATTCTGATTAATAGTCCTTGGGTGTGCAAACATAACAGGTACTGGTAAAAGATAACTTCTGATGGAAAATCTCTAATGCCTAAGACCTTCAAAAATATAAAGAAGTTTCCTATTAATTACACTGCTAATGAAAATTTGTAGATGAATGAAGATATTTTTCAGAGGTCTATTACAATTGAGACTAGAACAAAAAATAATTTTTAAAAAATGGAAAAATTTTATTGTTAATTGATAATTGTTTTGTTTATCCCCAATTCATGATCTACCAGTCTAATATAAGTTTAACATTATAATCTATAAACATGGGCATAATTAAAAGCATAAAAAATGTTTTATAAAAGATTTGCAATACCACATTTGACGAATCAAACAGAAAAGGAATACCACTGAAAATCTTTCAATATCAGATATTATAATTTTATTAAATGAAGCATGATACAATTCTGTTACAATTTCAGACTGCTTTACTAAATCTAAACCATCAACAAGATAAATTATGATTATTAATGCAAATAGGGAATTTAACACCCTTTCTGACTGGTTAAAAAGTAAGTAATAATATCAATTTCTTTAATAAATGAAATTAAGAACTTTGAATATGCTTGATTTATTAATTTGTGCATTTCCTATTGAAACTAACCTTGCAGAAATCATGTTTAATAATAAAAACAATGTTAGTGATGATGGGATGGCTGAATGTGAAATCATAAAATCAAAATCAGAGCTATCAATCAATGGCTTTAAATGTTTTAAGAAGTGTTTTAGGAAAAAATTTGAGAAATATGAAAATACAATTGTTAAAACAATCATAATATTTAAATTTACATATTAATATTTTATTTTATATTTTAAGCATATATTTTGAAATTAAATTAGATGATTTGATAATGCAATACAGAAAAAAATTTTAGCATTACTTTTTATAAGATTTATATAATTATAATATTGTTATTAGTTTATTTTGAACTACATATAGCAATATAAAAGAAATAAACAGACTCACTTGTCCAAAATGTGCAGGATAACCCAGCATGTGAATGTATAGCAGTTTTGCTACATTACGACACCTCCATGTATCGTCTTCCTCGCGGAAAGTTGATCTAACATAAGCACATTCTTTCTGAACAACTGCACGTTCATCGGCAGCTGTCCTAGCAGCACGGATCTGTCTGATTAAATCTCGTAAACGCATGGACGTTGGCATACTTGAAGTTAACCTAAAATAATCACATTCAATAAAGATTTAAAATAAAAATAAAATATAAAACTAGTGCAACACAAGTTAAAATTTTATTAAAAATGTAAATAATATAGAGACTGTTAAATCAGTTACCAGCAGCTGGNATTGTCTGTGATTTTTTTTTTTGTTTTCTGCAATTTGAATTCTCATTCCAGGTTGGTTCATTCTGTGCTAGAAGAAAAGATGATGATGATTCATGTGCCTTAACAATGCACATTATATAATTTTCTTTGAATAAACATTATACATAAAATATTTGAGAATTTTTTTTGGCGTGGAATGCATTATCGTATTTTACATTAATTTCTATGGGAAAAATTGTTTTGCTTAACGAGCGTTTCGTGTTATGAGTACAATTCTGAAACGAATTATGCTCATTAAGCAAGGTTCCACCATACTAAAAATAATATATTGTTTTATCTGTAATATTATAACATATGAGATTGTTACTTTATAAGAAATTTAACTTCTCAAAACAATTAAGGAAGCATGTGTATATATCTTCACATTATACTAAATGCAATAATAGTACATCACCATTCCAATGACATAAAATTATATTGTTCTTTTATATAATAACAATCATCAATGTTCTCAACATATTCATAGCAGTTAATCTGTAAGATGTCAACCAAAAATATAGTAGAAAAATGATAAAATTTATCATTACCCTGCAACATAAACTTAATGGGATAGTTCATGAATGTTGGAATATCAATTGTAATCTTCTAAAAGACTTAATTCATCTTCTAATTATATCTCATGAAACTAATTATCGAAACAAAAACATCTGAGATGTAAAAAAATTGTTCTGAGTGAAAAATTATGACAATCTAAATGACAGTCAAAATTTTTCTTAGGAGTTTTTCTTTGGTAGTGCTCGAAAGTGATACCCATAAGATTTTTACCGATATTACTCTTTTCTACATTTTGCTTCAAAGCAAAATGTAGAAAAGAGAATAATACAGGTATCTAAACATACAATTGATAACTAAACAAAGCTTTGTTTAGATATCAATGATTTGTTTAATTAAAAAATTGTTAGATATTAATTTTGTTTTTTGTTTAATAATTGCATTATTACATCAAGACATTATTACATTGGTGACTGCTGATAAAGCACATTGCTGACCAAATGCACTGCCAACCAAATGGTTTCAATATTCACTTCTGTCTGTCCCAACCTATATTTTCAATATGCTGTTTAGGAAAATCATTATAAAAACTTTTAATTGGCATAAATTTGAACTTTGATTATTCTGAGTAGCATTTGAATAAAATTCATTCATTTCAATGTAATTTTATCCTAATAAGCATAAAATTAAACCATAAAACTGAAATAGCTCTACGAGAAACCCTCATGAACTTTGACCTATAAACCCAGAAGTTTCACAAGCATGCACCTCACCAATCATGAGAAAGGCTTAAGTTTAAAATTTGAGCTTTCTAGACCCTGTAATTTTTCTCTACAGTCAGCTGCAGTGTCGAATGAAGAAAAAGAAGAAGGAAAAAAATACAATTTCTGCACAATTTCAATTGCTTATATTTCAGCAACCACTTTATAGAAAATCTTGAAATTTTGTACAATACCTAAGAAAACAATTACCTTTCAAATGAGATATTCAAAATTACTTTATATGTTTGGGGATGAAACATTGATCCTCCGAAAATCAGCAACTCAGATTCCTGTATATATGTGACTCCTGATATTACAATATATCTGCTTATAATATCTGAGCAGAATGCTAAAGATTTAAGGGAGCATGCCAACAATGTATACAGTTTATATCCTTTACTTTAAGCATATCATAGATAGTATATGTCTTATTAAAAAAAAGTTACAATTAATTGCAAAGTTGGAAAATAACTAGTTTTTTAAGAACCCATCTTTATATTATTGGCATCTCAAGTATGTTTCTTGATCTATATCATCAGGAAATAATGTGTAGTCTTTTGATTTGGTATTTTTGAGACCAGAATTTCCTCTCATTAAAAAAAAATATTCAATTATTTCCTTTATTTCTCATATAGGAAATTAGTTGGTACTGTCAGATAAGATCCTAAAAAATTAGACTGCAGGTTCAAAACTTTTGTATATTTTTTCCAACTACTGGTTTATAACAAATCCCATGTATATTCTATTATATTATTCAATTAGGAAATTTGTATTATGAATTGTAAAATATTAATCCTATCCTATGTAAGATACTAACCCCTGATATCTTTTACATATTTAAATTTTGTAGAATCAATATTTGTTATGACACTGTTGATACGCAAACAAACTATACCAGAATATCATTCATTTATTTATTAATATCCAAATTTACATTTAATTACATTAAATTCTAAGTATTCAAGACCCACTATTTCCTGTTAACATGAAACCATTAGAATGCTTTCCTTAATTCTCAAATAAAGTAAACTTCATTTACTGTAATCATGAATAATATTATCAAAATAAGCAGGCTACAAAACATACAAGGTATAATATATAACAAAAATTATTCAATTATTATAATCTGAATTCAGTTATTGTTATCACTATTGATCTTAATCAGTTCTTTAAATTAATCATTTTAATCGTTATTTGCTCACAATAGTCTAATTTGCTGGCATTATGCTAGCTGTTGTTGAAGTTGGTAGCAGACAAACAATACTGAATGAATTACTTATTAATATGTAATAATAATTAGTAAGTCTTCAAGTTATACATTTTTAAATTATTTTAGATTGTCCTTTTAATGTTAGAGTCAACAAAACCAGAATTTCCTCTAATTGTTGTTTTATTTACTTACTTCATATGTTATCTATAAGTTTAGGAAATTCATAAACTGAAGGATTTGAATGTAAAAGGTTGTACTTTAAAAGGCAAAATTATAGAGATTTCTGACTGACTTTGTCTTCCCTCTAAATTGACACTTCTGATCATTTCACAAGATGGATGTTAAGTAGAGCAACATATCAGTAACTTAAAAAGTACACATTTTAAGTTACTGATATCATTTCTTTTTATGGATTACCATCTTTTACATTCAAACACTTCAATTATTACAATAAGCAGAATCTACTGTACTTTCAAGCCTTTTTGATCATCAGGAGTGGAAATTACAGGAAAAAACTTAACTTTGTTATAAAACTCAAATCAAACACTATTAGTTTCAAATTCAAACCATTTAATTCTAAATATTGTTGAATTTCTATTAAAAGATGTATGTGTAATTTATAAGTAAATATTAGAAAAATAAGGAAGTAAGAATAACCTAAAAATCACATGAATTATTATTGTTCTGAAAGTTCTTTTTATGCATGTATTCTTTTGTGCACCTATACAACAGTACAACAACTGATATAGGGGAAAAAATTGCTTCAATATAAAGAAAAAATATAAATGTCACATGCTCCTCTTAATTGTTCTGAATCCAGTAAAATATATTTTAAACAATATAAATTTTTTCATATTACACTTTTTATAAAATTAAATACAGTAGAGCATCGATTATGTGACTCAATTGGGGACTCAGGTTGGTTGGATAACTGAAAAAATGGGATAACCGAAAAGAATAAAAAAATACATTATTAGTATAGTATATTAGTATATCTCATGTAATTAGTATATTAGTATATTGCTATTAACCAACTTCGCATTGAATTTTCATCGATGTTAAGCCTAACAAATTTTTTTAAAAGTAATAATCGTTGCTATTGTATCGTTAAAAATTATTTTTAAATTATTTTATTGCTCACAAAACAAACAACCACTCATAATTAGAAAATTAAGTCTCGTTTAAATACTGGCCTCCCTTCAATGGTCAAGCCAGTGTTGCCAGCTAAAACATGCAAAAATTTAACAAAAATAATATTAAAGTAGCCAAGACGTAGCCAAATATTATAGTGCCACATCACTAGCGGACATTTGAAATTTTCTGACTAGAACGGCCAGTTAACTGATGTGAAGGTTAATCGGGGGTCAGATAATCGATGCTCTACTGTATTTAATTACTTAAGTAGAAATAAGTCGAAACCGGTTACTTTGTACTCAATATTTGTAGTCTTGGGAAAAAAGTGGAAAGAAATTTTTATGACAAACGGATATATAAATCGTAAATGTAAGGAAAATAAATTCTAGAGCTTTTTCTGTACCTCGTGCATCTCTCTCATTCATTAAATTTAGTTGTAAATGATGCTGCCAAATAACAGTTAATTTTTTAACATTATACAAGAATTGTAAACGTTTTTTTCTACATCCCCTTAAAGATGGGATGTCCGAAATCGTAATAACACTGGTTTAACATCGAAATCCGCGAGTAATATAAAATCGGAAAGCGGAATAAATACATCAAATATTTTAATCGATTTTTTAACTCCTGTCAACTATACGGAATTATCGTAAAAACATACCAGTAAATTCTTATCGGTTGGGTTAAGTTATAAATTTACTCGTTATTCACGTAATCGAAATATCTAGTGGGCAGGTGGCTAACAGCCCAGAACCGTCCTTGATAGAATTGGAATCTTTATATGTGTGCAGCTTCCACCCAAGGTCGTAGGCTTCCACCGGCTAAACCGGGTGAGGTTGGTGCTCTGTAAAGCGCATGCGCAAATCTGGCTTTTCGTAATCTGAAAATACAGGAGATTCCACTCCGCCACT